GAACTTCTCCTTACTTCCTCTCCTCCTCTTGCAGCCAGGTGTTTTCCCCGTTGCCGTAACAACGCGCTGTGTCGGCAGTCCAACCGTTGCGTGTGTCGTCGAGGTTTCCACGGATACCGCTGTGAGGTTTCCACGGTAACGCTGACCTCCGTCCATCCCACCAGCATCCCGGACCCGATCCCCAAAAATCCCAACGGACCCCGAGAACCGGCCTCCAGACCTCCTCCCAGCCAAGTCCTCAGAACGATGAAGGTCCTCCGTCTCTCCTCCTCCTCCTCACTACCGGAGACCAGCAGCAAACCTAAAACCTCAGACCTGGATCCATCCTCTACTGAGGCCCACAACAGAGAGGAGCAGCCTAAGACCTCCGATAAGGTGTTTCTCCTGCAGGAGGAGAACCAGGCCTCAGCGAAAACTCCTCCTGAGTCTAAAACAGCAGACGGTCCTGGTCCTGGTCCAGAGTACGCCGGGCTGAGGGGAGGGAAGGAGGAGGTGAAGACCGGAGGAGCAAAGAAGCAGATGTTGAGGTAAAACAAGTTTATAATCTCTAGTGGAGGAAGTACTCGGAGATAAATAAAAGTACTGTGTTGGAAATGTCACTTCAGTAAAAGTATAATCAGGAAAACGTAGTTAAAGTATTAAAGTAGATGAAAATAAAGCTGCAGTTCAGTGTTGAGGCAGCAGGTGGAGCTGTTCCCCTGATAATACACACTGCATCACTGCTTTAAATGTCAGATAAAACTCTTTAACAGGAACAACTTAAATACTTTTACTCACAGTGGAGTATTTCTACTTTTTACTTTTCTGTCAGCGTGTGAAAACTTTTAACAATCAATAGAGTCAGAGGTCAAAGGTCGTGGAGGCCAGGGGTCAGAGCCGGGGTCAGGGCAGACTGTGGGAAAAAAAACTGACCTCAAGGAGCTTCTGGAGGATTCAACTTCCTCTCCTCACCTCCTTACTTCCTCTCTTTACCTCCTTACTTCCTCTCCTTACCTCCTTCTGGAGGATTGTGGGAAATGTAGTGAATATCCAGGACTGCAGTATTTACTCTTATCTCCTCTAAATAAACATCTGTAGCTAATGTCAGAAATATGAAGCTAATGCTTCTTATACAGCGGCAGCTGTAACGTTTGAGGAACGAGGAATAATCCGACTGTGGAGCGTCTCTGGCTGTTGTTGGTTATCTGCGTTATTTATTCCCTCCGACTGTTTGAGGCCAATTTAAATCAGGTTTCAGACAGTTCACTCCCTCCGTTTCTCTCTGCGCTCCTACAGACTCTCAGACCGGCTCCAACACAAACAGCAGCCAGATCAGTTTATATTTTAAAGCCTCCGTAGTTACTGTTGCTAACCTGTCATCCTTCCATTCAGCTAACAGTGCTGGTAAAGTTCATCATATTTTACTTTATTTACTGTATTTTTCTTTATTTTACTGAGTAAGTAACTAAATAAACAAGTAAACTATATAGAACTAAGTAACTGTTGCAATGTAAAGTTATTGTTAGTGTTTTAAATATGGTAAAACAAACTGTTAAATACTGTAATCAACTGTAATTAACTGTAAATAACGTAAACATAATGTATATTTTTTTCACTTTAAATGTTACAAGAAAAAGTTTTACCTGATCGGAACGATATCGTTATCTGTTGTTTCTGGATTGTAATCCAATGAAGAGCCTCTAACGGGAACGAACTCCGATAGCCTCCAGGATTATCTTATGTAGCCTATAAATAGTTTTAACCACACGACACCAGTATGCTCAAATTTTATTTTAATTAACACTAAGGTAGTTTAGTTAATCTTAGTTAACCAACTGTAGGTAAGATATCTTAATTAACCAACTGTAGGTAAACTATTTTAATTGTGTATTGTGTATATTTTGCGTATAGAGGTATTTATGATGTGTTTGTGTGTCAGTGTGAGGGAGGCCCAGGCTGTGCTGCTGAGGAAGACTCTGTCCCGGGGAGGAAGAGGAGACAAGATGGCCGCCCTGCTGATGAGGCACATCGAGAAGGAGAGAAAGAAACTTCTCACCGCGACCTCCTCTTCCTCCTCCTCTAACTCCTCGTCTTCATCATCATCCTCAGTAAAGACCAGCGTGAAGACTTTCCACACTCAGAAGGGGCAGTACACCGTGCACGTCACTGCGCCCGCAGGTCAGTGAACGCAACACAATCAAATATATTAAAATCATAACCAACACTTTGTTTATTTTATTATTTATTCGTACATTTCAACAACAACACAATTGAGTGTTTTAAAAAATAATTAAAGACACTAAGACCAGAAATAAACATTTAAATGGTAAAATAAAACAGAAGGTAACCAGACTAAGAGTTTACACTCAACCAGCTCTGCAACTTAGTTAGTTAGTAGCTTGGTTAACTAACTGTGAGTAAGTTATCTTGGTTAACTAGTAAGTATTAAACACATTAAAATGTTGACCTGAAGATGTCAGAGTAGAAGCCCAACCCAGAAGTTAGCATCACCCTGGCTCCTTCAACCATTATCCAATGGGATCTTTCCATCGGTGCCTTCAGGTTAAATACAAAATGGTTCACCGTGTCATCACTGTCATTTTTTACTTTTGGACGGGTTACTTTGATTGTAAATTTTACAACAAACTAACTTAAAAACAAACAAACAAAAAACCCACTTGCTCTAGCTTGCTACCAGCTGGAGTTAGTATTTCATGTAGAAGCCCATTAATGTCAGGAAAAGATAAGGATGAAAACTTAAAAAGCTTAATTAAAAAAACAAGATTTAACAAAATAGACATACAATCAGTATCCTAGTTAAATTATTTGACAGTCATCAATATAGTTTCTTTGATTTTACTATAATACAACATCCCCCCATAAATAAACCTCACTGTGTATTCACTGTGTGTAATGTTTATCTGGTCGCGGCGTTAGCGATACGAGAGCAGACATTATAATCATGCATGTTTGGACATGTTAACACGAGCTTACTGTGTATTTAACACACATACCACAGCACACGGGTCATTATTTAGTGTAGTGGCGCTGATCCGGCGGCGCTGAGAGATAAACTGTACACACACAGGTCACGTCTGTCAGTCACACCTTGATGGAAAAAACAAGCTGACGGTGATTTAATGGAGCTGGAATGCCTGTTTGTTACTGAGTGTGAGCTTCAGATAAGGTGGATGTTAATACAGGCTCATAGTTCAGCCTCGATCACTGTGATTAGACCAGCTAACAGTTCCTGTTATTGTTCAGCTGTGGACAGAGCTGAGAACCATTCGCTTTAGTGCTACATTAAGATTACATTAAGATGGAGGGATTGATGGATCGGTAATGAACAAAGTCACATTATGAAGTGTGGAGTTATGGTTTTATCTTACATCAACAGACTGAGGCTAAAGCTGACAGGGCCCAGGTTATAGTGTGTGTACAGAATATATCAATATAGTAAAGTACAATAAACATATTCAATAAGGTACGATAAACGCAGTAGAGTACGATTGAGTATAATTGAGTAGGATAGAGTACAGTAGAGTAGGATAGAGTACAGTAGGATAGAGTACAGTAGAGTA